TTTTTACAAAAGAACAACCCGACAACTCAACCCAACCTGAACATAGAGGGTTGAGTTGGGTTGTGACTCTATTCAAGTTATTTAGGTCACCCGTCCAACGAATCCGAAATTTCGAATTGGTCAAAAATATATCTCAAACTCAATCCAATCCAACAAGTGTCCGTGTCTAACCGTTTATTTGCTTTTTGTTGTTAGGTATAGACTAATGAAAGACTTTTGAAGGGTTCTTAGTTTGACAATAATATTGTTTGAAGGTTGAAAACAACGTTGGAATGAATCAAGTAAACACGTTGCATGTTCCTTACCCCAAATTGTTCGCAAACATCCTAAGATTATTCAATTGCTAACCAATTAAACTTGAGATCAAAGAAAAAAGAACTCCAAGAATAACCCGAGTTCCTTAGCTATTCTTATTTTGATTCTCAACCATTGGTTCGGACTTTCTTTTCGAATTTTGGAAGTATTTGTTGAGGATCATTGAAAGGCGTAGTCACACGTTAGCTAATTAAGAGAAAGACCATGAGTCTATAAGGAACACTATCTCCATTATTACGAGCCCTTTTAGAAAAACTAAAAATAAAGTCACGAGAAAGGAGTAGCCTCATATGATACTATTGTTGCGGAGAGTCGTGGTTTCTAACATGGTATTAGAGTCATGCTTTTAACTTAGTCACGTCAATAGAATCCTAAACTATTGAACAAAATGTTTATTTTGTTCGAGGGCTTTAGAGAAAGAAGTCGAGTCTCGATTAAGGAAAGACTGTTCGAGGGCTCCATGGGCTTCAGGAGAAGCTATATGGTGTACTTTGTTTGAGGGGAGGATTACGAGAGCTTATGCTCAAAGTGAACAATATCATACCATTGCAGAGAATCGTAATTTTTGGCAATATTTAGCCCAAAATTCGTACTTAGTCTATTTTTGTTAATCAGAGAAAGTACTCTAAACTTAAACCTTCCTATATTCTTTTAAAAGTTGTATTTTTATATTTGATTAAACTTTCAAAACTGCATATGAAGTAGAAATCTAACACACTTTTTGCATTCTAGAGTTCTTAACATAAACCTTACAGTTCTGTTGAGATCCCACATCGGTTGGAGAAAAGAATGAAGCAACTTCGTGCAAAATCAAGGAGGCATTCTGGTGAGTGCGTGCGTGTAGGACAGGAAGGCCGACCACTACATAAGCTAAAAGACAACGACTACAAACAAAACCGGAAGTCACTCGCTTCTATTTTGGTTGGGATTGTCTATCGATGGAAATCTATACCTTATAAGGGTATAAAAATCTGAAAACTTCTTCTTAGCAGACACGTTTTAAAACCGTGAGGCTGATAACAATATGTAACAGGCCAAAGCGAACAATATCTGCTAGCGGTAGCTTAAATTAAAGTACTATCAAGACACAACGAAACAAAGAAATCTGAAGATTTAAACAGAGTTAAACTCATAACTGGTGCTATAACTCATATCAGTTATCAATCCAATGCAGAGTATGGCACATTTAGACATTATAAACATACAGAGGAAGAAAGTAGCTTGGTTTTTACACACTAATGCTACAAAGTACAGAAAACTACCTGAAAATCAACATATTGAGGCTTTAAACATGATATCAGTTTGATAGGGCAGCCACCAGCTTCTCCTTCAATTGTTCTGCAGCACCACCTTCAGTTCTAATGGAGAACGAGTGAATAACCTTGTCGTTGTCGGTGCTGGTCGTAACGTTTGATTCATGAGCTTCAATTTGATGTTCCCTAAACGTTTTGATTACTCTAGAAACAGGGTGCAAGTCCAACGGACAACTCACTCTCACAACAGCATCCTCTTCTCTAGCCTGAAAATCGATCTCTGCATTTTTCACCCTGCCATTAACGATCTGTTTTTCGGTCTCCATAACCTTGACTTTCATTTGGAGATCGGTAATATAAGTAATAGCATCGCCGAGCAGCGAAGCCTTGTCCATCTTCGAGATATTTGGGACAACAGCCCGTAATGCATAGAATCGTTGGTTCAGTTTCTCACGTCTCTGTCGCTCTGCTTCGACGTGATTCAGTGGCTCTTCTCTCCCATTAGCAGGCTTTCTACCTCTCTTCCTGGGTTTTCTGTCATCTCCTTGAGGGGACGACTCGTCCCTCGGTAACTCCAAAGTCGAGAGTCGGGTTTGAGCATTGAAACCACCAACAATTTCTTGGGTTGGACGCATCTTTGCATCGCTATCATCACCTCGACACCCGTTCGAAGAGTTTCCAAACATATGATTAGCACCTAAACCCTGCAGCTCATACCCTTCTGAAGGAAAATTTGTTTCATCTTCCAACTTCGGCGAAAAGTTAATACCAAGCGATCGAGGTTTCGCTCCACCTAAACTCAATTCATGTCCAAAGATCCTTGGGCAGGCCCTTAATTGGGCAGTGTCCGACCCTCCAAAGGCAGCTCTGACCAACTCAAGAACACCCTGATCTTCAGGAATTGATTTAACAGACCCAAGTTCAACAACTCCCAACTTTACAGGTACAAAGACCAGCGTCTGCAAACCAGCCACTTTAGCTAAGAACCCTCTCGATTCGTAATTACGCATACAACTCGATGAATCCGAAGCCCATATAGTCTTACCAGCATTGTACGACGTCCCGAGACTGCTCCCGGAGTCGCACGTAAACTTGTAATACATCGAAGTCTGATAGAGCATATCGATATCCGACGCTTCCTCCTTCCTTGCTCCAAATCCATCTTCATCAGACCCTCCAAAAGAGGATTGAAGCATTTGAAGCACTTGCTTCTTCATTTCCTCGTTCTTCTCTCCCTGAGTATCCCTACCAGAAATTTGAATACCAATCTTTGAATCATGACAAGCCCCATCGCCCCAAATTAAAGCTAAACCACCAGATTTCAAGGTAACCACACGCCAAAAGATTGCATAGTTCCAATTTGAACCATCCAAAAGTTGAGTTAGCCCCTGATTCACACTCGAAAATTGGAAGGCCTCGGGTGGTATGATATTGCTAGATGCCAACGAGATCAAGAACTCACAAGCTTCACTACCAAGAACTGATTCGACCAAAACCCTGTTTTCTTCGTTGGCCCAAAATTTCTCACCCATCTTCCAACAATACAAAGAAATCCAACCTCCACTACTTCTAAAATCGCCTTCCCATAGTAAGCAAAGAAAATTCCAGTAGAACACAAACAATTAAAACCCTATCAATGGCTCGCTAACAACAGATCTACGCTAACAGCTTCAACAAAATAATCGACAGCCCACACAAATCTAAAAAGAAACTCGAAGAAAAGAGATCAAGAACTGACCTGAAATTAAGGTGGAATCTGAAATTGTAATCGAAGATCGCCTCAATTTCGTCCAAAAGACGGAAGATAAACAAGGGATTGGATTTTTCTCACTCGATTCGTCGCTCGCTTGAAGCTGGAATACATATAATTTTGATTTTGAACAATTTTATTTTAATATCATCCACTGAAAATGCAGCTAGCTTAGCGTTTTTCATGTGAATAGCATAAAAAACATGCCGGGAAATTAAATTCACAGATCTGCTGTAGAACACCGAACCCCAACTTTTGGGTGTGGTTCGCGCATATCTCGTGAATCGTGAGCATTTCAGTTCGACCCATTTGAACAAACCCGTATTGGGTCGGTTCTTACTTCTTGAATTTTTTAATTTATTTCTAAAACTTTTAATTTTAATATTTTGAATAATTCTACCGGCAAATCTAAATTAAGAACTGCAAACTAACCGCTCATAGGTTGAAAGAAGTATAATATGCCCTTTCATTTTAATATCCAAAATCTTCCTACCGAACAAAATATCATTAATTTCAATATATAAAATTTTGTCACGATCCAATTTTTGAGGCTTTAAATTTTGAGCGGTAACAAAAAAGACAAGGACGAACATACATATATTAGATTCAAATCTATTAGATAAGATCATTGATAATAAGGAATTAGATGCAAAAGATTATAAAAATATTTACATCAGAGCGTCTAATCCTCAACGAATTTATTGATGTGAGTCTAGTTGATCGATAATTGATATGTTTGAGATCAAATTATTTTATTAAATGGCATCTGATTCTAAATCACTTTTTTAATCAAATTAAATAAATTTAGAAGTCAACGGGTTAGGCTATTGTGACTAAATCTGTAATTTTAAAAGTAAAAACTTTAGAAGTATATGAATTCCATATAAATTCCATGTTCAAAATCACTAAAAATACACGGCTAATTGTTTAAATCAGTTGTGTTCCGATGCATGTGACAAGCAAAATGCACGAGGTCCCGAAACATCAAAACATGACATATACTTGTAATGCAAGTCATTCCTCCATTTTTTTTTTTCCTAACATAGTGTTCCTATGAGATATATAAACGTATTACTTGTCATATCGTTCACAATTAACATACATGACTTTCTAACGTCTCATAGGCATAGATCAGATGTATTAACATGATTTACATGATATGTAGGGGTTCATGCATCATAACATAAACGTATCATACTATAACTGACAACATAGACATGTCATCCAAAGCCAACAACAAAGTTAATTACTTAGTGGGCTTAAGCCAGAGTCACTAATTTATCTTTGTGCTAGTTTAGATCGGTCCTTTGGAATCCAATTCAACACATGTGGGTCCATGACATCGGATCAAGGCATAATAAACGATTCAACTCACCTAACGGTACCAGTTAAATATATTTTTGGCTAAAAGGACTTAAATTTATCCAACATCCTGTGCTAATTTAAGTCTTTCTTAATTATCTTATTTTCAGGATCGCTCTTTTATTTCTATGTAATCCCACGTATTCGAGATCGTAATAAATAAGAATATTAGAATTTAAAAATGATTTTACCCAATTTTATTCCTTCAAATCTGAAAATAGAATTGATTCTTTTAAAAATAAAGGGGAAAAAAAGTGAAATGTGTTATTCCAAAATAGGCTATAAATAGATATTGATTTTTGTTAACTTAAACAACCAAACTTCAAAATATAGAAGGGCAAACTCGCAACAAAAAGAAATGTCAGGTAAATCCTTATTTATACTTTTTTATTATTATTATTATATATAATATATATTTTAGTCCTAATTTTTCATTTTTTAAAAATATTTTTAGTTTAATAATTTCTTACAAAGCACTAAATATATATTAAAATAATGACACCCTATTAATAAAATTTTAAAAAGCGTAATCTCAATTATGTGACCAATAGGTTCTTAAATGGGTTAAATTAGTGGAAATAGTATTTTTCTTAAAAATTAAAAATTTTCAATAATATTCTTTGAAAAATACCCTTTTTACTTAAAAAAAAAAAAAACTTTTAGTATATAAACAGAACCGTTAATACCAAGTTTAAAATTGTTTAAAATAGCTTAGAACCGTTAGTATGTGTTTTTATTAACTTGGTCTCTTTGAATGGTTTAGAAAAGTCGTCTTGGCCAGAGTTGGTGGGGAAGGATGGGGAGGAAGCAGTGAAGATAATCCAACAAGAGAATCCTTCTCTCGACGTAATTCTAATGCCACGAGGCCAAAACTGGGCAACTCTTGATTATAGGCCAAATCGAGTCCGAGTCTTTAATGACGAAAGTGGAAAGGTGAATTCGATCCCTCGAATTGGCTAAACACCCTTCACAATATGTAACACCTCACTACTTGAATAAAATAAATTAAGGTTTGTTTCTAGACTTAATCTCAATTATATGAATATCTAATAAATAAATATGAAATTTCACTTCAAAACTAATTAAGAACGACAAAAACGTATAAAAAAAGCTTGAAAGGCTTCGAAAAATTCATACATATGGGTTGTTCTAATTTGTATTCGCCTATAGCTAATACCTTTGTTTCGATTGGGAGGAGTAACAACACAAACCGAGAAAGCTCGTCGCCCGTGCCAAAATATTACGCAGCAACACGACGCAGGCACCCAATGTTGATGCTAGAAGTTTTTCATCAACGATAACGTAAATAATTATCAAATATATTTATATTTTTAGTACGTGAAAACAAGAAACAAGAAACAATAACATTATCAAACCGAGCACTAGAAGCTCAAGAATTCATAATTATTCGAAAAAGTTATTCATTCGTTCTCCATTAGAATTGAATGGCAACGAAAAACAATTAAAGGAATGTTCGGGCGTTTCGTCGATGTAAGATCACACATCGGTTGGGGAGGAGAATGAAACATCCTTTACAAGGGTGTCGAAACTTCTCCCTAACGGATGCGTCTTAAAAACATTGAGAGGAAGCCATAATAGTACAAAATTTGTTAGAGGTGGGCTTCAGCTGTTTTAGTCGAATTATTAAATTTAGAGTTGTTTAGTCTAGGAATTAACCTAAAGTTTTAAATTTTGTAGGATTATTATAATTTTATGCATTTTTTTTTTGTTGTACTATATAGTTTGAACTATATTCCGATCAAAACGCCCTCATCACCAATCAAGTAGCTTCAAATATTATCTTAAATGAAAAGGGTAGAACGAACGAGCCTAAAATACTCATTATCTTTCTTGTAGGCTTACAAATCGACTCCAACCATACTTAGAAACTATATACCATATATCTAACTCATGTTTCCTAATGGTATTAACCTATATTTTCTCTCTAAGATCACCATCAATCATAATTATATTGTGGTTAAGACTCGGGTAGCTCTCAAAGATTATTAATACTAAAGAAATATTACTTCTAATTCACGTAACTCCTAAACTCATAATAGAGTTTTTAACCACTTATTACTCGTCATTTAGCTCTTAAAAGCTTATATCAATTGTTGTATTCATGTCACCGAACTTCTCAAAGCTTATATTAATGATTGGATTCACATTGCTTAGCACCTCTAAGCACCCTTGAAATCAGCTTATCACAATGATTGGATTCTCTATTGTTCAAATGTTCTAGCTATACTCTTTATTTTTACCAGTTATCGGTTTAAAGTATGTATGTGTGTGTGTGAGGACCTCCCGAATAGCCTAACTCCATGATATATTCAAATCTTGTCATACAAGATAAAATCACTATTAAAGAGTAATGGACGACTCTATAACAATTCCCAGTTATAATTATGTGGGAGTAATTTTGGTGTCGGTCAACTATTGTAAATTATAAGAACAAGTTTATAGTCAAAGAATAGTCGAAGATTTTCTAAACAGCCTCCACATAATAATTTGATGACATTGCCTATCACATGCGTTTTAAGGCACATTCTTGTATTACTAATCTATCTAATACCATTTTTGAACCCTGTTTATTGAGAGAGTTCACATATCACATGCTTTTGCCTTGTAAATTCCTATAAAAAATTGCTAATTTTGACGTTTATTTTTCTAACGTTAAAATTAAAAGAACTATCACATAAAAAATTAAAATACTCATATAGATAATTTGATATGTAATCTTTTACGATAATTCATATTTTCCTATTACCAACTAGAAGAACGATTATTAAGTTTGGGCGAACACGTGGAAGAACTAAGTGTTTAATTCCTAATTTCTAATTTGGACCAACAATATGAAAAATTCCATAAACACATTTAAACAATTACTATGAAAATTAACACAATTGACAAAAAGGAATTGAAGAACATAACTTACTAAAATGACCATTTTCGTGATGCCGATCATTCCTTCGAGTCAAATCATAAAACTTGCAGTAATCGGCCAACTATGATTTAACAATAAAGTAACTCTATTGTAAATAATTAATGTATATTACGTATCTTGGGAGGATGTTTTAAGTTAGGGACGAATAAGGAGTTTCATATCTAGGAAAATATTCGAGAGACTTGTCCAACACGGTTTCTGGAAAGGTACTGTTTGTAATGCTTTCTTTTTAATTCTTAATAAAATTAAACAAAGATATGTGAATAATCCAATTCAAAAGATTTTATAGGAGGTTGGGCTTGGTTCATTATTTAATAAGGTTGTTTCTATCGATAAATTTACAACTCGAACAATTTGGTTGAGTCTAAAAATTGTCTCAATCCGACCCAACTCAACCCATGAACACTCCAAACAAGAAGTGGAGATGAAGATGAGAATTCATTCCTGCAATTGCCTCTAATACAATTCGTTATTGGATTAAATAAAGTGGATATATGAAGTTTCACTAACTAGCTCAATGTGTTAAACTATATGTCATTGACGAAAAAAATATTCCGCTTCACTATGTACTTTCATTGATACGCTCAACAAACTTCATTTTCTTAAAAATCTATCTTATATTATAATATAAAAGTTTTCTTTTTGGTCTAAGATTTGACTTTGTTTATATAAAAATATATACCGAGTGGTTTCACTTTTTTAATACGGAAATATATACGAAACGTGGTCACAAATTTCAAATTATACCATCAAATATTGCTATATAAATGTGTCATTATTCAACCAATACAAAACATCTCATCCCATCTTCGATCAACAAATAGACCGCGATTCCAAGATGTTCGATATAGTTGAAATAAGTACGTAAGACCAGTAATTTGTCCTTCTAAATTTTTCGTCGTATTAGAGAGGTCCATAGGCAGAGATAGGTAAATCCTATCGGTAGCATTTCCAGTGCCACCAGACTCTATACCCTTTCGAGTTTTTCTTCTTCTCTGACCCAAAATTAAAAAGAAAATAAAAGTTGTCAAACATCTGTTACATTCAGAAAGTGGGTCCATCAAATCTTTTGGTACACAAAATCTTCAATTTGCATCTTACAAAAATTGAAACTGGGTCCATCAAATCTTTTGATCCCAATCTTTAAACTTTCCATCTTCACAGATTGTAATAAATCTTTCCTAGTTCGGATACCATTTGTTAGAATCACACAGCTCCCATTAAAATCCACAAAAGAACAAAAGAGAAAAGACACAAAAAGTATAAGTAAACGACTCTCGGATGTAAAAATCCACAATGGTTAGAGTTTATTTAGATGACTTCAAAATAAGATTAAAGTTCGAAGGGATAAAATTACATTAAAAAATTCGTATAAAAATCTAATAACCTTTGTCCGTTCATATTGATTTATATCTATTTGATTCAATTATCTATGAATTGATTGAATTAAAGAAATATTATTTTTTTCCATTGTAATAGTCAAGGCCCACTGCTAGTACATATTGTCCGTTTTAGCCGGTTACAAATCTCCATTAGTCTCATAATTTTAAAACATTTTTGCTAGGGAGAGGTTTCCACAACTTTGTAAAGAGGGTTTCGTTCTCCTCTCCAACCGATATGAGATCTAACAATCCACCTCTATTGGAGGCCCAACGTCCTCGTTGGCACCCCACCTGGTATCTAGCTCTGATACCATTTGTAAAACCTCAAGCCCACTGCTAGCAAATATTGTCCGTTTTGGCCGGTTACATATCCCCGTTAGCCTCACGATTTTAAAACACATCTACTAGGGAGAAGTTTCTGCACCTCTATAAAACATGCTTCGTTCCCTTCTCTAATCAATGTGGAATCCACCTTATTTTACAAAAATAATCTTTCAACTATGCATTCATTGAATTAGATTAATAGCTACATTAATTTATTCTTGAGTTCTTAAATTTTGGAATAAGAGTATATATTCTCTAATCAATCAAAGAAAAGAGTGACATTAATTTATTCCAAAATGGCCTGTTTATAATCACTTCATTAACTTAACCAACTAACCAAGCCTGAATTCAGAAGGAAGAAAGCAAAAATTATGTCTGAGGATGGAAATTCAGGTATGCCCAACTGCCCATAATACACCCACTTCTTTTCAATCAATTTTTTGGTTAAGTTTTTAAATGCCTCATTTGCTTAGGAAAGAGGTCTTGGCCTGAGCTGGTGGGCGAAGATGGGAATAAGGCTGTAAAGATCATAGAGGAAGAGAATCCGAATGTGGTCGTAGTCTTACAAGCTGGACCAGAGATCATATCCAAACCATTATATGGTCCCGATGGCAGTATCATAGGCTACCAAGCAGTCTCAGGCCAACCACCATACGCAGTTCCTCCCGGCCTTGCTGTGGTTGAAGTCGTTCTTGACGTCGAGGGGAAGGTCGAAAAGGTTCCTGTCATTAAAGCATCCTAAAATTAACTTAAATTAGTGAGAAAGATTATGAGTATATCAAGAACGCTGTCTTGGTTGGTATAAAACCTTTAGGAAAAATAAAAGCAAAATCATTTGAGCTCTTGGTCAAAATACACAACATTTAAATAAAGTGGAACATGTTTGTATTGCTAGGCTTCCTATATTCGATCTTTTTTGGGAGGTAATAAACAAAATTTCAATAAGAATTAAGTAATTCACCACATATTATCCTTTTTAGGTTTTCCTTCTCAAGCTTTCCCTTAACGTTTCTAAAATGTGCTTGTTAGGAGAGGTTTTCACATTCTACAAAGAAGGATTCGTTCTCCACCCCAACCGATGTGCGATCTCACAATTCACCCCCTTCGGGCTTAGCATTCTCGCTTGCACTAGTTCCTTCTCCAATCGATGTGGGACCCCCAATCCACCCCCCAACATCCTTATTAGCACATTGCCTCATTGACACATCGCCCAGTGCACATTGCCCCATGTCCACCCCCTTCCTAAGTAATTGAATCGTGTAAGAAAAGAGGGACGAAAAAAGAGTTAATAATACGCTCGAGTGAGAAGGAGTTCTACAAACCCGAAGGAAGAGTGATTTCTTCATCCATCTTCTTCAATCCCTTATGATTAAGTACTCATTGAATAAGTTTCCCTCCACGAGGACAAATTGCATTAAATGCCAACTAAGGCATGGCAGCCTCACTTTTCAATTCATTAAATGTTCATTCTTATCGCATCCACCTTCTCTTCCACATGTCTTTTGCAATAAGATAACGTGGTCAAACTTTAGACCTAATTATATATTAAGTTCATTATAAGGTCCAAATTTGGGCCGCCTGACCTTAGTTCCTTGCCAATTTTGGTAGCCATCCATCAGATCATTCACTATAAATATTCATACATAACCCTTTGATATTTGCATTATCCAAACACTACCCTTCAACAAATACATAGATATCCAAAAACCCATCCATCAACTTCACCCAAAATGGCTGATTTTTGTCCTCCTGGAATGTTTAACTTACTAGACTGCACGAGGTCGTATAGTTTCGATTTGATTTTGAAAACTAAGTTGCTTGTATGATGGTTGATTTGATTATTTAGTTTGGTTTTATCAGGAAAGAATAGGTTGTAGAGCATATCATCACGAAAGACAATTCCAATGTGGAACGTGTCGAGACTATCTTAGCTAGAAGTACAGTGACTGATGATCTTAGGTGCGATCGAGTTAGGATGTTTGTTAATATACATGGAATAATCGTTCAAACACCAACCATTGGTTAGAAAAAAACTATCAAAAAAATGTTGATGCATTGATATGTATTGGTTTTCTTTTAAATGTTATTGTAAGCAATAAGGGTAGAGTATTAACATCTCTTGAATTCTACCATTTCAATGATCAATTCCCTTTTCTTTTGTGTTTCTCCATGGTATTTGAGAATTCTCTTTAATGGCAATTCAACATATTTTAAAGATCCTTTGAAACGAATCCCTAATTTTCTACTAGACAACGTCGATCGAGCAAGCAACCGATGACGTGCTCTTCTTCCTTCTCATTCCTTTGTATTTCAACCAAAGAGAATGGAGGAAACTCAAATTTATTCCAAAGGGTGGATAGGAGCTGAAATTCGTTGGTTGGAGTTCTTTATTGTCTTGAAAACCCATTATAAGCTTTTGAATCACTGTCAAGAATGGAGGAAGAACATAAGGTATAGATTTTGGGTTCTTAGTTTTGATTTTCGGTAAGATCCAGAATGATTTCTTAGAAGTAGATTCTGAATTTTTTGTTTGTTGTTGTTCTTAGAAGAATTTCACATAAGTTCCATGAACAAGAATGTGACATAGACTGTTGACATCAAAGCTACACTTTGTGTGTATAGTCGTCGGACAAAATAGTTAAAAAAAAAAAAACACGAGGGTTAAAGCCAAACTCCTTGAAGAGGACCCTTACTCGTCAGACGCCCAAACCAAGCTCATTTGTCAAGAGCTTGTGATTTCAAATTGGGCAACAAATAATCAAAAGGTGTACTAGGTACCAGCCTACAAAAGAGTTATTTGCATCAAATGTTAATACAATGGTGTAATCTTTGAAACTTCGAGAATTGATCAGAAATAACTATAAAAAAAAGGTTGATGTTTTTGTTTGTCTTGATCACTATTATATATGTACCTTTGTTTATATATAAAGGCAGAAGTATTAACTCATCTTGAATTTTCTTTGCATTTATGTTCCATCTATTATTCTGTATTTGATAACGCTCTTTAATGAAACTTTAACTCTTCTAATATATCTTCTTTTTTACCATTATCGAAGAGTTTGCACCTTTTTTTCCTCATTATTTCTTTGAGGGCAGAAGAAAGATGAATTCACTCGAGGGAGCACAAATTTAAACTTTCGATATCAAAGTTATACAATATAGGAACTATTAAAAGATTGTCAGTTACCCTTCAATAATGAACTTGTCTCGGTTGACAAGAATTTGCATTTGTATTCTTTTATGATTATGAATTGGTATGGATAGGGTCGTTTCTTGATATGCATAAATTTTATGGAGCCATAAGAATGCTGTTTGTAAGGCAATAAGGAGTTCTCCAACTATTTCTTAATCGTAAACGTGTTTAAAGAAGGGCAAGTGTCCAAACAAAAATTGATAGAAGCGATACAAAGTTGCTCCTTTTGATGATAATAACACTATGAAACTTAATAGATAATTTGTTTTAAACGAGGAAGATGACGATTTGAATTATAAGCCATTAAAGAAAAGTTGATCCCATGAGCATACAAATGTTTAAATGCCACACAAACATTCAAATAAATCATACATATCATTCAAATATTATATTATGGTAGAATAGGTAGATTCTAGGTCTTAATTATTTCAGACATGGATATTCAAATTATTTTAATCAACTTGAGGAACTTCAACGACTTTATCGTTTATATTAACAAAAACTCGAACTCGATCGTGTCTGAAATCTTTAGTCTCCTCTAGTTCCAGCTAATAGCACGATTGTTTTTACATCAGGATTATCTTTCTTTATAAGACGTATTCTAATGGAGGATTCGATGAATACGAGTTCTGGCCATGAAGATTTACCCAAGTAATTGAATCGTGTAAGAAAAGAGGGACAAAAATGAGTTAATGAAATGCACGAGTGAGAAGGAGTTCTACACACCTGAAGGAAGAATAATTTCTTCATCCATCTTCTTCAATCCCTTTTACTTTTGGTGACAATGAGATGCTTTGATAATTATCTAGTGATAATTTTAAGATCGCACACACTCGATTTAGAAGAACACAAAAAATATGATAGAGAAAATGTAAGAAAGTTTTGTATGAATGACTATAGTACAGTAGTAAGAGAGAATACATAGAATATAGAAAGTACATTCTCATAGCTTTGCTCGAGGGAATATATATATATGGTTCGGTTTACTATATATATAGCTATCATCTACTATATATATATATATAACTATCTATCGATATAGTTTTTTTACTAGCTATTTAAATTTTCTTTATATGTCATTTACCATATATAACTTATAGAGTAAAATGAATTAGGATCGGATTCTAAATCACATTTTTAGTCAAAATTAAATGGCATCTGATTCTAAATAACTTTTTTAGTCCAATTAAATTAAATAGCTATTGACTATAAATCACATTACTTATAAAATTAAATAGCATTTGATTCTTATGTGTTAGGCAATATTACGGACCTTACTAAATTTTAAGAGTAAAAACTTTGGAAGTATATAAATTCCATGTAAATTAAGGTTTATTTTATCGACATTTGTTTGTGTTCAAAATCACTAATTATATACTGCTAATTGTTTAAATCGAGTTTATTTGATAAACGATTTCATGAATTTGAATACTTAAATAAATGACGGTTGTATCTCGATGCATGAGGTCCCATGACATCAAAACATGATATACTTAGAACGCAAGTCATTCTTCCGTTTCTTTTTTCTGACGTACCTATGAAATATATAAACGTATTACTTGTCATATCTCTCATAGTTAACATACATGGATTTCTAATGTCTCATAGGCATAGGGATTCATGCATAATAACATGAATGTAACATAATATAATTGATAACATATATCATTGTATAAACATAACATAACACACGTCTAGCAGTTATAAAACATGATATGTGTAAGGGTCATAGCTCGTCATCCATATAGCAAACAAGTCATCCAATCAAGCCAACAACAAAGTTAATTACTTGGTGGGTCTAAGCCAAAGTCACTAATTTATCCTTCTGCTAGTCTAATTCTGTCCTTTGTAACCCATTTCAATACACGTGGGTCCATGACATCGGATTAAGACATAATAAACAATTCAACTCACGTAAGTGTATCAGTTTATTTTTTATTTTTTATTTTTTTGTTAAAAAAACTTAACTTGACCAAACAACGGTTATACTGACCTCAAATGCTTCTAGGAACCTAAAAACGGCTCGAAAAGTTCAATATGGTTGGAAAGGTCCCGAGATTTCATTTCGAGCAATCTAAGTAGAGGAAATTGAGTCGGAGCCACTAAGTCGAGGAACTAACGCAAGCCGAGTTTAACCAGTTTGAGGTTTGAGTCTCTAGTTTGGGTTCAAAGCTAAGATTCTTTCTTTTCCTTTTGTTTTCTTGTGTTTTCTCCCATTTTGGTCGTGTTTTATCGACGTTTAGTCTTTTTTAGTCGGTTTCCAACCTTTTTTTTTTCTTATGGCGGATTGTTTGAGAAGGTTAATAAATCTAAGAGGTGGCGACACCAACTTCATCGTTAATTCATCTCTAAACCACATCTTACTAGGAGGTACCGCTTTTGTAATCATTTGTAACACAATTCATACCTAAGATTCAAATGAGGATTCGAAGCGTGAGGGTCCAGACATTCCTCTACATCTATTGCCATCCAACACTATGGAGTTTCCATAATCGAGTCACCGAAAAGACTTTGGAGTTCTTAATGATTTTCAATTCTTTTAAGCCTTTTTTTGTCATCTTATCATCAGGATAGCTCGCATTCAGGTATGATTTCGGTTCATTCATGTACTCCTCTTTTACTTTAGTGTCACATGCCCACAAAGTTTTGCATTGGTTCGTTCCCAGAAGAGGTAACACTCCAATACCATTTGTAACAACCTATACCCAAGAGTCGGATCAAAACTCGGAATCCAAATTCGACTCCTAATAGCCCCCAACATTCCCTTATGATACAATCACGTTACTTACTCCTCAGTTCTAAGAGTGAAAACTATTACCACAGACCAACATGAGTTTATGCCACATACTTTGTCCTCACTCACATGCATCTTAGAAAAATTCTTTAAAAGTCACCCAACAAATAATTGATCAAAGGAAAATACGCTTAAATTTGGAGTATGTGTGATTAAGTCATCGAAAAGAAAAATGCACCTTATTAGTGTAGACATTAACTTTCAATTATTTCCAAGTTTTTTTTATTTATCATATTTTAAAAATCACTCTTATTCATATGTAATCCTTTACTCGCGTGTCACATTACCTCTTATCTCATTGGGTCAGTTCACTCTCTTTTTTCTTTTGAATTATTCTTATGCTTTACTTTTGGTTTGATAAATATTGCAAATATTGTTTAAATTATAATTTAAATAATTAGTAAGTAAATATAAGTAATAATATATAAAATAAAGAACTGAACAATTAATTCTTATTAGCAAGATTAGATTTTCTTTTAACAAATTATATTGAAATATTTTAAATTTAATTCTCATATTCAAGAAGATAGATTTTTTTTTTTTAGTGAGAAATAATATTTTATGTGTATATAGATGAGTAAAATTTTGAATTCAAATTATTATAAATTTCGTGTGAAATCATTATATTTATAAAATATTCGAGATTGTAATATAGATAACAATATTAGAATTTAAAAATGATTTTACCCAAATTTATTCCTTCAAATCTGAAATTAGAATTGATTCTTTTAAAAATAAAGGGAAAAAAAAGTGAAATGTGTTATTCCAAAATAGGCTATAAATAGATATTGATTTTTGTTAACTTAAACAACCAAACTTCCAAATATAGAAGGGCAAACTCGCAACAAAAAGAAATGTCAGGTAAATCCTTATTTATACTTTTTTTTATTATTATTATTATATATAATATATATTTTAGTCCTAATTTTTCATTTTTTAAAATTATTTTTAGTTTTTAAAATAGCTTAGAACCGTTAGTATGTGTTTTTATTAACTTGGTCTCTTTGAATGGTTTAGAAAAGTCGTCTTGGCCAGAGTTAGTGGGGAAGGATGGGGAGGAAGCAGTGAAGATAATCCAACAAGAGAATCCTTCTCTCGACGTAATTCTAATGCCACGAGGCCAAAACTGGGCAACTCTTGATTATAGGCCAAATCGAGTCCGAGTCTTTAATGACGAAAGTGGAAAGGTGAATTCGATCCCTCGAATTGGCTAAATACCCTTGACAATATGTAACACCTCACTACTTGAATAAAATAAATTAAGGTGTGTTTCTAGACTTAATCTCAATTATATGAATATCTAATAAATAAATATGAAATTTCATTTCAAAACTAATTAATAACGACAAAAACGTATAAAAAAAGCTTGAAAGGCTTCGAAAAATTCATACATATGGGTTGTTCTAATTTGTATTCACCTATAGCTAATACCTTTGTTTCGATTGGGAGGAGTAACAACACAAACCGAGAAAGCTCGTCGCCCGTGCCAAAATATTACGTAGCAACACGACGCAGGCACCCAATGTTGATGCTAGAAGTTTTTCTTCAACGATAACGTAAATAATTATCAAATATATTTATATTTTTAGTACGTGAAAACGAGAAACAAAAAACGAGAAACAAAAAAAACAAGAAACATTAATATTATCAAAACGGAGCTTGAGAAGCTCAAGAATTCATAATTATTTGACAAAGTTATTCATTCTTTCCCATTAGAATTGAATGGCAACAAAAAAACAATTAGAGGAATGTTTGGGCGTTTCGTCGATGTAAGATCACACATTAGTTCGGGAGGAGAACAAAACACCCTTTATAAGGATGTAGAAACCTCTCCCCCGCAGACGCGTCTTAAAAACCTTGAGAGGAAGCTCGAAAGGGAAAGTTACTAGAGGGCAATATCTGCTAGCGGTGGGCTTAGGCCGTTACAAATGATATTAAAGCCCGACACCAAGCGAGGTAGCCATTCGCAAGTCACTAGTCCAACACAGGTTAGCATAAAAGGAACTCTAGGGGTATAAATGAAAGGACTGAGAACCAAAGAACCCCATAGGACAAGTTCTAAAGAGCTAAGACCAGAACTAGATTTCCTAGAGTCATAAGACCAGAACTAGATTTCCTAGGGTTGGATCTGTATGGCAACCCTAGAGGGGTGAATAGGGTTTTAACCTGTTTAAACGTGATTAATTTTTCTAATGATGAAACTTTTTACAAATAAGTAGAAGATGATAATTACTATAACAAAATAATTCAAGTCAAAACAATAATCAAGTAGAACATGCAATAAATCACAATAATAGTTTTGAAATTAAATAGGAAAGAGTTAGAGAAAATGACTCCGCAGTTTTATAGTGGTTTTGTCAAACTCGACCTACTCTACTACCAAGCGTCTCTTGAGAATTTGAATAAAGAACTTTCTCGATTCTTTCCACGGATCAGAGTCAAAACGCTACACCGCTCTTTTTACGAGTTCAAGAGCAAACTCAATCCTTTCCACGGTGCAAGATCAAACCGGTACAAATATTTGAGTTTGATAATAACACACCACAACTCTCTCAAAGAGTAGATTTACAATTTGAAACACTCACAACTGTTTCCTTACAATACAATAATAATCCCTCTCAAGAATAAGATGAAGAGAAATAAACTTGTAACGTTGGAGAGAGCAACAAACAATGGAGACTTTGAACAAATAAAGATTGGAGAATTTATGGAAGTTGTGTGTTTTAAAATGTGGGGAAGATGAGTTTATATAGTGGAAAAGAATGGCAAAATGTAGGAATTAATATTGACCAATTGGATTGTGTTAGGAATAATGGAAGGTGGAGATTAAAAGTAAATAAATAAGAAAATTTTCCAAATTTATTTATTTAAAATTTTTAATATAATAATAATAAAAAGTTATGTGAATAACGGTCAAATGAAAATTCAAAATTTATTATAAATATAATAATATAATAACAATAAAAGCGATGTGAGTAACTACCAAAATTTTAAAATATAATAATATAATAATAAAAATCGATATGAGTAACCGTTATATTTAAATTTATATTTTGTAAAAATAATTTTATTTAGAAATATAATAATAAGAAAAACTACACCATTTGTTACTCTTCCAACATTATAAATTATAAATGTCATATTTTGATATATTTTGATTTTGCTGCCACATCATCATGCCACATCATCACGTCGGGTATGTTGTCTCGACTCTAATTTCTTCGTTTTAGCTCTGATTTGAGTAATTGAAAAGTCGTTGTAATCGTTATTCCCGACCTTATACTGTGGATAGTTCAAAATACTTAAAGTAGTTAATAATGAAGAGTAGGTTTGTTATCATCAAAACATCAATCAATTAATTGATTGAAATTAATTACAGTGAGATCCAAGGCGAAAAGGCCAACGCCTAGAGTCTACAAATAGGTGGCTTACTGAGTATAATTTTTATACTCATTCCTTTCTACTCTTTTTTTTTTTTCAAGTACCGGTCGAGGTGGAGAAGCGTTCGAGAGCTGTGCGGTCACAGAGGGAGTCATTCCGGAGTGTCAGTCCCTTGTCGATCTTTAGAGTCTTTTGTATTTTTCTTCATAATTGTATTTCCTTTTATATTTGTAATTACTTTTGTAATAATTTCGAGACAAAATTTCTCTCTTTTGTTTTAATTAATTGGTATCTTTATCTTATCTTTTACTCTTATTTTCTTTTTGTTTGTTTTCGATTTTGTCTTTTGGGTCACGGTCTGATTTTCGAAGCCTCAAAAATTTGGGTCTTGACAGATTGGTATCAGAGCAGTCAGGTTTTAGATTCTGTAGACTTTGTTTTTAGGATAGAGAGTCGTACACCTTTGTGGCTCAGCTCGACGACACGCCTCGTCGCGACCAGGTATGCAGTTTAACCCTGTTTAGTAGGTTATGATATGATGTAAAGCATGTGAATTTGATGTTTGTCTTGGGTTATGTGGTAGCTATGATTATGACTTAGGGCGATAAATAATGAATGAGCACTCTATACATCAATGCTAGATGCGAGTTATTGTGAGGAGGCCTAGAGGGGTCATGTTATAGCTTACTAGCCTTAGGAAGATAGAGAGATGACGCAGCATAGTGCGAGACGTCCAAAGATGAACATGAGACTTTCTAAGGTCTAGTACGAGGTGAATTACCTAGGACCTAGCCTCCTCTAACCATAATTCTAGATGGCAAGCATGCCTTCGTGGAGAGCACGTAGTAGGCCTAGACAGTATAGAGCATGCCTTGGTACAAACCACATAAGTAGACCCAAGCAATATTGTCCGTACAACCAAAGACGATCACTATTGGAATTAAATACCCCTCAAACAAACTATTACCTCAACTGAGTTTTAGTTAAGTTGGGAAGTCAAGAGATAAAATTCACCAATGAGAGTGAAGCGATGGAAGTCATGACTTCAAGGTTTGGTTGGAGTCTTCATGAGCTAAGTTCATGTTTATGGACTTCCAAAACTGTGATGTGCCATTTTATGCCACTAATGAGATATGGGGTGTAGGATATTCCTATTGATGGATCACCTAATGAATGACAAGTCGCTTTGGACCTTGGTGTAGAGGACCGAGTCCAATAGCAGCACGTGGTTATCAGTATCATATAAATGTGTTCTAACCTATTCTTAGGTTAGAACAAGCATACTTATAAACATGAAAACTGTTAAGGTAGTCCAGTGAACCTTAGGATCGAGAATAGTAGGAAAAGCAATCAAGCTATGGTCATGCATTCGTCGTCTGGAGGAGAAAGTTCAGATGCATGTTAGTAAGAACCAACCCTTATTTAGGTTATCTGGATTACAAAGAGTAGAAGTCTATTTTCACACATGAGTGTGACACCATACTTGTGAAGCATGCTCAGACAGGGGTAGAGATGCTAGATAACGTGAGTTTGGGATCTCACAATTCACCCACATCGGGGCTTAGCGTTCTTGCTGGTACTTGTTCCCTTCTCCAATCGATGTGGGACTCCCAATCCACACCTTTAGGGTCCAACATCCTTGTTAGCACACAACCTCGTATCCACCCCCTTTCGGGATTCAGCATCCTCGTTAGTACATTGCCCGGTGCACACTGCCTCATGTCCACCCCCTTCCAATCTTCTCGCTGGCATATTGCCCGGTGTCTAACTTTTATATCATTTGTAACAGCCGAAGCTCACCGCTAACATATATTGTCCTCTTTAAGTATTCTTTTTCGAGCTTCCTCCCAAAGTTTTTAAAAAGTATCAATTAGGAAGAGGTTTCCATATTTTATAAAAAATATTTTGTTCTCCTCCACAACAACGAAACTCACAAATTTAAATATGTATTCTAATCTTTTATTCATGGGTTAAAAACACAAAGTTGAATGATGTTTAGAATGAAAAAAAATTATATATTTTATGAGATAATTTAGTTAACATTTGAAGTTAAAATAGCGATTTGCAAACCCTATGAATTATTAACTTAAAAGTGATGCTAGTGGATAACGGTAGACGTGTCATTATTTGGCATCAGCAAAACTCTATCCAGTCGAGGATTTATCGACGCAGTAACAATCAAGGAAAAAATTCCTCAAACCCTTGGAGTTCCCTCTCCAAAAAACTCTCAATCAGCCTCTATCACGTGGATTTAACTTGGCAGAGTTGGAAGATCATTTCCTTAAGGCATTCGTGTCAAATTGCTAAGTCCATATGAGTGGAGAGTAGGAAAGCTCGAGAAAATGGATTACTTACCTTGTAGAAGGGATTCAAGTATTACTTGAGTCATCCTCTCGTGCATAAAGTGGATGACTTCGTAATAGTTGTCGAGACTAGCATCCATTCGAGAAGAGAGCAATTGGCTGGACGTGAGTGACATATAGAACAAAACTGTACTAAACCTAGAGAAGTGTCAGTGTAGTGTTTTTCTGAAAAGGGTTATAGTCCCAATGAGTAAATGTAGTGATGAGGATTATTGGGAACGAGTCTCACATGGCTAATTTAAAGAATGATCATAAGTTTTTAAGTAAGGAATAAATCTCCGAGAATATGATAGTTGAGGTCAAAGCGGCCATGTTCAGGGTGCTCTCCCCTAACTCAAGCGAAGAGATGACGTTACTAGTTTTATCATGGTTTATCAGGTGAATCTCAGACTGAGTTCGAGAGAAGGGCAGATTCGATAAATCGAGATGATCACCGTGGTGTATTCACCTTCGTTTTCTAAAGTATTATTGAAATCCAATAAAGGCAGACTAACCTATCTTGAATTCTACCACTTCAATGCTCAAATGGCATTTCAGTTTTTCAAGTATACCCCCTTGATCTTCACGAAGAGTTTGCACCCTTTTTTTTCATTATATCTTTGAGGGCCGAATAAAGATGAATTCATTGGAGGATTGGAGTAGAGATTTAAACTTTCGACATCAAAGCTATATAATATGTGAACTATTTAAAGATCGTCAATTAATCTTTAATAATGAACTCGTCTCGATTGATAAGAGTCTACATTTGAATTTTTCATGATTATAAGTTAGTGTGGATAGAGTCTGCCCCGATAAGCATAAGTTTTGTGGTATCATAAGAATGCTATGTGTGGGGACAATTAAGATATCTCCAACTACTTCTCAATCGTGGGTGTATTTAAAAGACAAGTATCCAGACAAAAATATACTGTAATAGTAGGCACAAAGATAGCTCCTTTTGATGATAATAACACTATAAGATCTAATAGATAATTTATTTTTAATGACAAAGATAACATTACTATTTGTAATGGAATACTAGATGAATTGGAATTATTCCGGTTGAAATTAAAGCTTTAAGCCATTAAAAGAAAAGTTGCTCCAATAGTTGCTCCATGAGCAGACAAATATTTAAATGCCACACAAACATTCAAATAAACCATACATATAAATCAAATATTAGGGTGGAAAGGTAGGTTCTACCTTATTTAATCACCAAACAAATATAGATATTCAAATTATTTCAACCAATTTGAGGAACTTCAACGACTTTATCATTTATATTAACAAAAATTCGAACTCGATCGTGTCTGAAATCTTTAGTCCCTCCAGTCCCAGCTAATAGCACGATTGTCTTTACATCAGGATTATCTTTCTTTATAAGACGAACTGCAATGGAGGATTCGATGAATACGAGTTCCGGCCACGAAGATTTACCTAAGTAATTGAATCGTGTAAGAAAAGGGGAACAAAAAAGAGTTCATGAAACGCCCGAGTGAGAAGGAGTTCTACAAACGTGAAGGAAGAGTGATTTCTTCATCCATCTTCTTCAATCCCTTTTACTTTTGCTCAAAGTTGAATGAGATGGTTTGATAATTAGGTAGTGATATTTATAGCAAGTTTGGATCTTGGAGGCTCTTCTATGAAATGGAATATTATATTGGCAACCTTCATTTAAAACTCAAAAAAAGTTTGAGATAATATGGAACGTAAACACATGTTTGAAATTGGAGTCCTATCAGATAAACTTAGAAAATAAAAGCCACCTCTTTTATAAATAAAATATAAATTGTTTGACCAAATAAACTCATACCGACCCTTTCGATGGTACCAAGCATATTTCTCCTTACATTTTCTCTCTTTTATTCTTCGTGTTCTTCATTTCGATCAAGTGTTTGAATTGTACGAGCAGTCGTCCTTCCATCATTAATTGATAGTCTTATCGTGTTAGATAAACGATAGTTCAACGTTACAAAATAATTAAGTACATCGTCACAACTTGTTGAATAAATTTTCCTCCACGAGGACAAATTGCATTAAATGCCAAAAACAACTGAGGCATGGCAGCCTCACTTAAAAATTCATTCATATCGCATCCTCCTCCTCTCCCAAATGTCTTTTGCAATTAGATAACGTGGTCAAACTTTAGACCTAATTATAAATTAAGTTCATTATAAGGTCCAAATTTGGGGCGGCTTGACCTTAGTTCCTTGCCAGTTTGGGTAGCCATCCATCAGATCATTCCCTATAAATATTCATACATAACCTTTGATATTTGAATTATCCAAACACTACCCTTCAACCAATACATAGATATCCAAGAACCCCTCCATCAACTTCATCCAAAAATGGCTGATTTTTGTCCTCCTGGTATGTTTACCTTACTAGACTAGACTGCACGAGGGTATAGTTTCAATTTGATTTTGAAAATTAAGTTGCTTGTATGATAGTTGATTGATTATTTAGTTTGGTTTTATCAGGAAAGAATAAGTGGCCAGAACTTGTTGGGATTGAATCAAAGATTGCAGAGCATATCATTAGGAAAGACAATTCTAATGTGGAACGTGTCGAGACTATCTTAGCTGGAAGTGCAGTGACTGAAGATCTTAGGTGCGATCGGGTTAGGATGTTTGTTAATATAAAGGAAATAATCGTTCAAACTCCAACCATTGAGTAGAAAAAAACTATAAAAAAAATATTAATGTATTGATATGTATTGGTTTTCTTTTAAGTGTTATTGTAAGCAATAGGGTAGAAGTATTCATATCTCTTGAATTCTACCATTTCAATGATCAATTCCCTTTTCTTTTGTGTTCTCCATGGTATTTGAGAATTCTCTTTAATGGCACTTCAAGTTCGTCCTTTTTTTTTCTCCCACAAACTCTCTTTTTTTTCTCTCTTTCTCTAACTCTCACTCCCCACTTCTCTCTATAATACTCGAGCCCCAGTAAGAAATTAAATATCATATATTTCTTTTAAGTTCGAACTTCCAAAATTTTGTTGACGGTCTTAGATATCGAATATCAAGATGAGGTAGAAAAAAAAAACTCAAGAAAAATTTGAAGTAAAGAGGTCAACGAAGAGGCCAAATCTTCATTTTTACTTCCTTGCAATTAAGAATGGAGTTTATGGTTTTGATAGAGAAGTGGAGAGAAACTCAAATTTGTTCCAAAAGGTGGTTTGGAGTTAAAATTTTGTTGTTGTTCTTTATTGTCTTGGGAGAACCATTATAGACTTTTGAATTACTCAAATATGTCAAGAATGGAGGAAGAATGTAAGGTATAGATTTTGGGTTCTTACTTCTAATTTTCGGTAAGATCCAAAAGAATTTCTTGAAACTAGTTTTTGAATGGTTGGTTTGTTGTTCTGGAAGTAATTTCACATAAGTTCCTTGAAGCAATCTCAAGTTGAATGAGCTAACTTTCGTGAAAGAACTAAATTTGTTCAAGTTACTTATAGAAAAATATGAAAATTGAAAGAGAAGGAAAAAAGTAAAAAACTGATAAGAATTTAGAAATAAATTGGTGAAACTTGTGACACCATTGACGGAGGTGGGAATTTGTCATGATCTGATTTTTTTAGAGTTTGGACTATGACCAACCAGAAAATAAAAATCAAAGATGAAAATCTCATATATTTAAATCTAAATAATGATAAAAGAACACTACAATTAAATACAATATAAAATTCAATTACAATATAAAATATAAAAAACGAGGGTTGAAGTCAAACTCCTTGAAGATGACTCTTACTCGTCAGAAGCCCAAACCAAGCTCATTTGCCAAGAGCTTGTGATTTCAAATTGGGCAATCGATAATCAAAAGGTGTACTAGGTACCAGCCTACAAAAAAGTTATTCACATAGAGAAATAGTGTCAATGGTTGCAACCAAAGAAGTCAGTGTGAAATAAGACGTGTTAGCCAAGTTCCAAATTGCAAGTCCATATGGGTGGACGACATCCCAGTGAGAGCAATTGAATTGAGCAGGGAAAGCACGAGAAAATGGGTTGCTTACCTTGTAGAAGTACTTCGAGAAGTGAGCACACATATATTACTGAGTCATCACCTCGTGCCTAAAGTGGATGACTTCACGGGAGTTATCGAGACCAACATCTACATGAGAAGAGAGCATTAGGCTGGAAGTGAATGACATAGAGAACAAAACTGCAACAAGACTGAGAAGTGTTTGTGCAGTTTTGGCACATGAAGGTGGCCTAGATGATAAATTGACTGAAATGTAGTGTCAACACAATTATATGTTACGAAACCAATAAAGATAGAAGTATTAACTCATCTTGAATTCTCTTTGCATTTGTGTTTCACCCTTGTACTGATTACCACATATCATTTGACATCATAGCTTCAGGCTCAAGATCGAAGGTATGTTTCTTTTGCATTTCTTTTCAATTTGATTTTTATTTACTTTTGTCTTTATAGTTTTTAATCGACCCAGAATTCCAAATTCAATTTTTGCTCTATTTAAAATTTTGAGAGGTGAGAATGAGAACTTCATGTGTAAATGAGTGCAAGCAGCGTGGCCTAAAATAATCCTTGAGTGTATACATGTGAGAGATTGTTATGAGGTCCTTTGTATTTCCATATCTTATTTTTTGCAGCAAAGTTTCACAAATAGATTCAAAGTTTCACAAATAGATTCGAGGACGAATCCTCTTAAAGAAGTGGAGAATGATATGAACCAAGAGGCATCAATCATACAATATACTCCAATGAAGATGTGAAGAAAATGTTGTCAAAATTATCAAAAGATGTTGCAATTCATGTAAAATTGAAGAAGAATGAAGTTTGATTGTTATAAATTTTGGGTGGATTACAATTTAGAGTAATTTAGAGTTATTGTATTTTAAGACTTTTAATTTACTTTAGGTTACAATTACATCATGGTTAATTATTAATGTTACAACTCTTGGAATGTTCTTTAATAATTTCATTTTGAAACCATGTATGTTGTATTTGTAGGTAGTCTTTGAAAATATAGTAAAATGAGCATTTGTGCTTTCTTTAGCCCATGACTAAGTTTCTTTGCAATTCTATGTAGTTTAGGTTCATCTTGCTTGTGGAGTGATTCGAATCTCAAACAAGTGTTCTTGCATTGAGGTATTTGATCAACAAGAATCATTCAAGTTAGACATGATCGATCTTGCTTGTGGAGTGATGCAAATCTCAAACAATGTTCTTGTCTTGAGATATTCGATCCACAAGTTCATCTGAATCTTACTTCCCTTATAGTGATTTCCATATCAAAAAGTAAGATAACGGTACGAAAGATTGGTCAGTTCCACAGAGTTGAGCTTCTTGGAGAGATAGTATCCCAATGTAAACACATGTTTGAAAATGGAGTCCTACATAAACAACTTGGTAATAGAAATAGGATAAACTTAGACCAAATAAACTCATAGCCGCCCTAGAGTACCACTTGTATTTCTTTTTACATTTTCTCTCCATTATTATTCGTTTTCTTCATCTCGATCAAGTATATAAATTGTGTCATCCTAACATTAGGTTGATAAAGTTGTATTTATAATACATTAGAAAAGTGATATTATTTAAGGTAGTCGTCCTTACATCATATAAACGATAGTCATATTGCATTAGATAAACGATACAAAACGATTAAGTACATTGTCAAAACTTATTGAACAAATTTCCTTCCATGAAAACAAATTACCTTATCGTTTATATTAACAAAAATTCGAACTCGATCGAGTCTTATATCTTTACTTTACTCACTCGCTAGTAGCACGGCTGCCTTCCCATTAGGATTATCTTTCTTTATAAGCAATGGAGGAGGATTCGATGAATATGTATGAGGAATTTTCTAAATAATTGAATCATTCAATGTGTTAGGAGCCTCATTTTTCAATTGCATTGAAAAATCATTCTTATCGTCTTAAGAGATGAACTCATCTTTGCATCCTCCTTCTCTCCCACATGTCTTATGCAATAGCATAACGTGGTCAAACTTTAGACCTAATTGTATATTAAGTTTATTATACGGTCCAAATTTGTGGCGGCCTGACTTTAGTTCCTCGCCAATTTGTGTAGCCACCCATAAGATTATTCCCTATAAATATTCATACACAACCCTTTGATATTTGCATTATCCAAACACTACCCTTCAACAAATACATAGAGATCCAAGAACCATTCATCAACTTCATCCAGAAATGGCTGATCTTTGTCCTTCTGGTATGTTTCCCTTTCTAGTTTCCATTTGATTTTGAAAATTAAGTTGCTTGTAGAATCATTGATTTGATTATTCGGTTTGGTTTATCAGGAAAAAATATGTGGCCAGAGCTTGTTGGGATTGAATCGACGATTGCAGAGTATATTATCAGGAAAGACAATTCCAATGTGGAACGTGTTGATACTATCTTAGCTGGAAGTGGAGTGACTAAAGATATTAGATGCGATCGGGTTAGGATGTTTGTTAATATTAAGGGAATAATTGTTGAAGTTCCAAGGATTGGTTAGAAAAAACCATCCAAAAATGTTGATGTATTGACAATGGTTTTCTAAAGTGTTATTATAAGCAATAAGGGTAGAAGTATTCATATCTATTGAATTCTACCATTTCAATAATCAATTCCCTTCGCATTTGTATTTGAGAAATTTATGTTTTTTTTTAGAGATTATGGTGAATAATGTATTATATTCTTGCTTCTCAAGAAGTATTAAATTTATTAGGATGGTTTATATTTGTTAAATAGAAATATAAAAAAATATAAAAAATTACCGAAAATTTTGGTCTTCCACAAAAAAAATTTTAATAGACGCAATTTAAAATTGTGAGGTTGACCGCGATACATAACGAGTTAGAGTGGACAATATCTACTAGCAGTGAGCTTAAGCTGTTACAAATGGTATCAGAGCCAAATATCGGGCGGTAAGCTGGCGAGGACATTGGGTTCTAAGGGGGTGGATTGTGTGATCCTACCTCGAGTGGAGAGGGGTCTTATAAAGGTGTGAAAACTTCTTTCTAGTAGATGCGTTTTAAAGTCGTGAAACTGACGACAATACGTAATGGACTAAAATAGATAATATCTACTGGTAGTGCTTAGACTCTTATATTATTTATTCTCAAACCACTCTTGAATTTATCTCGTTCATAAGTGTTTGTATAATATTTTTAGTGGCTCACTATGATGTGGGGTCGCTCCACTTTTATGACTATATAATATGGGATTATTAGAGGATCGAAAGTTTAACATTCAATAGTGATTTTTTTTTTATTGATTAAATTCCGAATTTATATTTTTTTGTAGTTATGAGTTGGTACGGATAAGATCGTGCCATGATAAGCAAAAGTCTCATGGTTCTTTAAAGATATTATGTGTAGGGATGATTACAAGATCTACCAGGTCGAGACGTGAACTTTATTTAAATAAGAGAAATAATCTACAAAAATGTATGCAGTAGTTCACAAGTATGGCATTATTTCCTCCTCTGACGATGACGATAACGACAACGACGATAATGACATTATGATGAGTTTTAAGGAGTGGGTAGTGGTGAAGACAAAAACTCAAAACAAATCATTGAATTGTGAAGAAAAGTTGAGATAAGACGGAGATAAATATTTAGAAGCCAATCATATTTTATATTCAAATCATTCATATTGATATTCATTATCTAATTTGGATCTTGGAGACTTTTAAATAATCAATCAAATTGAATATTACATTGGGAACTTGTATTAGTAATTAATAAATGTGAAATGTTTGAAAATGGAGTCCTAGAAAAGCACGTTTGAGATAGAAATAGGATAACTTAGAAAATAAAAAGCCTCCTATTTCATAATTAAAATATAAATGTTTGACCAAATAGTATATTTTAAATATGAGTTATCCATTAAGAATCTATAATTTTATTAGAGAAAAGGATATATTTTTATTTTTCAAAATCATTTTTGTGAGAAATGTGAGATCTTATATCGGTTGGAGAGAATAACAAAGCATTTTTGTTATAAGGGTGTGAAAACTTCTTCCTTCTTCCTAACGGACGCATTTAAAAACTTTGAGGGGAATTCGTTAAAGATAAAGCCCAAAAAGAACAATATCTGATAGCGATAGACTTGTACCATTACAAATGATATTAGAGCTAGACACCGAGCAGTGTGTCAGTAAGGGCGCTGAGCCACGAAGAGGGGTGGATACTGAGCGGTGTGCTAGTGAGGATGTTGAACCCCTAATAGGAGTGGATTATGAGATCCCACATCAACTGGAGAGAAGAACGAGCGCCAGTAAGGGTGCTAAGCCTCGAAAAGAGGTGGATTGTGAAATCCCACATCAATTAGAGAGATGAACGAGTGTCAGCGAACGCTGAGTTATGACGGGGGTGGAGTATAAAGGTGTAGAAATCTTCCCTTAAAAACGGCTTGTTTTAACACCTCATGCCCAAATACAACAAACAAAGGCATGGCAGCCTCACTCTTCAATTCATTAAAAATTCATTCTTATCGGTTTCAGAGATGAACTAGACATCCTCCTTCTATCCCACATGTCTTTTGCAATAAGATAACGTGGTCAACTTTAGACCTAATTATATATTAAGTTTATTATACGCTCCAAATTTGAGGCGGCCTGACCTTAGTTCCTTGCCAATTTGTGTAGCCACCCATAAGATTATTCCCTATAAATATTCATACATAACCCTTTGATATTTGCATTATCCAAACACTACCCTTCAACCAATACATAGAGATCCAAAAACCCATCCATCAACTTCATCCAAAAATGGCTGATTTTTGTCCTCCCGGTATGTTTACCTTACTAGGCTTCATAAGGTCGTATAGTTTCGATTTGATTTTGAAAATTAAGTTACTTGTATGATCCTTGATTTGATTATTTGGTTTGGTTTATCAGGAAAGAATAGGTGGCCAGAACTTGTCGGGATTGAATCAACGATTGCAGAGTACATCATCAGGAAAGACAATTCCAATGTAGAACATGTTGAAACTATCTTAGCGGGGAGTGCAGTGACTGAAGATCTTAGGTGCGATCGAGTTAGGATGTTTGTTAATATAAAGGGAATAATCGTTGAAATTCCAACTATCGGTTAGAAAAAAACTATCCAAACATGTTGATGTATTGATATGTATTGGTTTCTTTAAGGGTTATTGTAAGCGAATAAGATATGAGAATTCTACCATTTTAATGATCAATTTCATTTGCTTTTGTGTTTCTCCATGGTATTTGAGAATTCTCTATAATAGCACTTCAATTTTCACGTATTTTAAGTATCTAGATTATTTCTAAATAGAATATTAATAAAGATGAAAAAATAAACAAAAAAACGATGAATTAATGATAGAGCTCCTTCACATGGTCATGGAAGAACCATTCTAAGCTTTTGAATCACTCAAATTCATCGAAGATCGAAGAAGAAGAAGAGAAAGTATGGTTTTGGGTACTTAGTTTTGGTTTTCTTTCTGATCCAAGAGGATTTCCTCGGATTAGGTTCTGAATTTTTTGTTTGGTGTTCGGAATTTCACACAAGTTCCCATCTCATGCTAAATCGCACCAAAAAGTGGAGTTCAGACGAATATCAAGAAATTGAAAGATTTGTAAGTTTTATATTTTAGACTCACTTTGATGTGAATATTTCTCTGTGTTTGATTTAACTTAATAGATTAGAACTCTACAACTTTAGTGAAACACTAATATTCAATACAAAATAAGATGGTTTTATAAGCTAAAAGCGAGCAAGCAACAATGACAACTTTGATAGTGTATAATCCGAGTAGGAAGAATTGACAACTAGCCACATTCTCTCTATTATATTTTGGGGCATTTTAGCCCTAGCGCGTATAGACATGATTTTGATAATTGTTCATATACCCCGTATTGACAAACAAAAACTAGTATAGGTCTATCTAAAATGAAAGTAAGTAAAAATGGGTTTGGAACAGGCATGCAGTCATGAACAACACATCCTGAACAAACACAACCACCAGGACATCTAACATGCGACCATAGGCAACATGTCTTGGACAAACAAGACCGTGACACGTCTCAAGTGCGCTTCATAGAAGCAGACCTGTGGTCTCTGCATGACATGTGGCTGGCCTAGATAAGTCATATTGTATTGAGTCGGGTCTCGCGAGTGGTTCAGGTCGGCAGACGAATCCGGCCGAGGCTGAGCGAGTCAGAGCATAGCAAGTAGCAGGCTTGGGTCCTTAAAGTGACAAACTCTTGAAAGTATGATGGATGATTAAAGTATGTGTATGCCCGATTTCAATGATTTACCAAATACCATGTGATATTAGGCAAATTATGAACTTGATAAGTAATTTAGTTAAGCAATTTACCATGGACTACCTATAATATATATGATTTATTCTGCTACGTCGGAATGGTTAAGGATTTTTTACCTAAACTTATATCAATTGTTGAGTGTTCGATAGTTCTTTTAGTAACTAACTATGATGTAAGGTCACTCCCTTTTGATTACTATTCGAGCTTAAAATTAACTTTTAATAATGAATTTGTTTCGATTGACAAGGGTTTGTAAATTTTTTTTTTTTTTTTTTTTTTTTNGATTGACAAGGGTTTTTAAATTTTTTTTTTTTTTTTTTTTTTTGAGTTAGTATGGATAATATCATGCCTTATATGCATAAGTTTTATGATGTCATAAGATCATTGTGCATAGCAACGATTAGGAGATTTACAAGTGTCTCTTAATCGTAAACTTGTTTAATAAGAGTAATGGTTCACGCAAGTAAATATAATAGTTGGCAGAGACGACAAACATTCCCTCCTACGATGAAGACGACATTATGAGACATAATAGATAATATGTCTTGATTGACGATTACAACCTTATCGAATCTAATAAAATATTAAATAAACTCTAAAGAGATAATAGTGCTTAAGAACAAAGGAAAATAACAAAAGTATTTAGCATAAACATGTTTAGTATGCATAAACATTCTTTTCTTATTAATTAAGTTTCAACTTTTAACTTTTTGTGGATCGTTATTCAACAATATAGAACTATCAAATAGATTGGATCGAAGGCTTAGCAACCCCATTTTCTAAGTGTATTAAAATTTCATTCTTTCACTTTACGAGTTTTAAATATTGTAACGTGTTCAAAGTTCATAGTCCAACCATAAGATTATTCCCTATAAATATTAATACCTATCAACTTTTCCATCAACTTATTTCCTATAAATGGACATACAAACTCCTTTGATATTTGCATTATCCAAACACTACCCTTCAACAAATACATATCCATCCATCAACTTCATCCAAAAATGGGTGATTTTTGTCCTCCGGGTGGGTTTCTCACCATTTCTCTGTTTTAGTACTTCTATCCTCGAGATTCGCTTTGTGATGAAACTATACGATTTTTAAAATAGTTTCAATTAAGTTTTGAAAATCAAATTGTTTATACAATCATTGATTTGTTTATTTTATTTGGATTATCAGGAAAGAATAGGTGATTCGAACTTGTTGGAATAGAAGCAAAGATTACGAGAAAATCATCAAGAAAGAAAATTCCAATGTAGGGATTGTTGAAATTTTATTAGCGGGAAGTTTTGTGCCGTTAGATTTTAGCTGCCATCGAGTTCGATTGTTTGTTAATATAAATGATATAGTTGTTCGCATACGAGGGATTAGTTAGAAAAAAACTATCCAAAAGATGTTGATGGATGCATATGTATTGTCTCGTCTCTACTTTCTTATTATAATAAAGTTGTTACTACATGACTTAATTATGAAATGCAGAAGAATCTTTTAAAACATTTCAAGACGATGTCATTGACTTACATGTTCATAATAAAGTTGTTCAAGGCAAAGTTTTCCCTATTAACATATTTCTTGAGAACAAAAGAATTGTCGCCTCCTCCTTCTTCTAACTAAGGGAATTCATGTTCTCACAAAATAACTAATTTAAAATCTTATTAATTGAGAAAATTAATGTTTTGCAATGATCCTATGTAACTTAATCTTAATCCTAAGTGAGATATGAACTTTTATTAGTGAGGATTTATTCTTTGAATTCAATATGTATTTTACCAAATAGGGAGTTGGGAACATAATTTCACAAGTTGGAATTCACCAACCTCGACTAGCAGTTAGCGATCACCTAGAAAAGAAAATTAGAATTTAGTGAGTATAAATATACTAATAAAGAATATATTTGTATGTTATCATTGCATTTGTGAGATCCCACATCAATTGAGGAGGAGAACAAAACATTCTAGCCTGAAAAAGAAAAAATTCAATGATCACAATATTTGCTAGCGTTGGGTTTGAGCCGTTACGAATGATATCATAGCCAAACACCAAACAATGTGCCAGAGAGGAGGCTGAGCTCTGAAGGGGGTGGACACGAGGCGATGTGTCAGCAAGGACACTAGGATCCAAAGGAGGTAAGTTGGGGAGTCCCACGTAGATTAGAGAAGGGAATGAGTGCGAGCGAGGATGCTAGGCACCGAAGGGGGTAGATTGGGGGTCCCACATCGATTAGAGAAAGGAACAACTGTCAGCGAGGACACTTGACCCCAAAAGGAGGGTGGATGGAAACCTCTCCGTGGCAGAGGTGTTTTAAGAATAGAAAACCCAAAAAGGACGCTATCTGCTAGCTTGGGTTGTTATAGCATTCTTATCCTAATAAGTTATCATAGTAAGTTATCGTAGACTTTTTCTAAACTCTAGAAAGTTTCGAACAATTTGGCATTGTGAATCTTCGCAACTGCAATACTAGAATCAGGAGTGAACTATCTTTATTATTCTTTTGACTTTGTTAGCTTGTTTGTAAGATTAGTTGCGGAGGCTCTACCTCATTACATTTGGTAGGACAGTATAACATCTACTCATCTAATCTTCATTTATGTAATTAAATTAGTTGCGGACTCTTATCACAGGTTTATAAAGTCACACTAACCCTGGTGGAGAGACCTCGTGTGATGGCTAACTACTAAGTTTACCTATGTAATTTCTCGTGCCCTCTCAGTATGGGTTTAACAAATCTACTTAGTTTTCTTATTTTAGTAACAAAAATATTAAGAAAACGAGGAAATGCAACAGAGACCGACATAATCTTCTTTACGATGTTTTCAACTGACTTATAAGACGTTGACACGTGTCGACTCTGATGAAGAATAATTTATTTGGTTTTAGAAAGGGCAAGGGATGTGTGTGTATATATATAGGTACACGAATCATGAGCTCCTTGGCAAGTAAAACCCTCACTCACCCTCACAAAAATGAAAAGCTAAAAAGATGGAAAACTCAGTACAAAATTGTACCGTCATATCAATCATGGAAGCTAACGTATCATTTTTCCTCTACTCTGAACCTTATTCCTTGCAGCCCAACAAAAAGGAATGAACCATGGTTCAAACTGATGGCTGACTCCCATTTTAAGATACCTTCTTCCCCTTAAAGTTGTGCATATCTGCAGAAGCAAGACCAAGAAATGGTCAAGGAACAACAGACCAAGAAATTAGAATTATTGGTTAAGTTTCTCACGTCTCTGTCGCTCTGCTTCGACGTGATTCAGTGGCTCTTCTCTCCCATTAGCAGGAGGCTTTCTCCCTCTCTTCCTAGGCTTTCTGTCATCTCCTTGAGGAGACGGCTCGTCCCTCGGTAACTCCATAGTCGAGAGTCGGGTTTGAGCATTAAAACCACCAACAATTTCTTGGGTTGGACGCATCTTTGCATCGCTATCATCCCAATGAGACTCACATGAAAGCTGCAAAGAGAGTTATCAGATACATCAAGGGGACCTGAAATTATGGAGTGGAGTTCTTAAAGCACAAATAATTGAAGCTAATTGGTTTCTCTAACATTAATTGAGGTGGCTCAATCGATGACATGAAGAGTACATCGGGTTACTGTTTTTGCACAGGATCAAGCATGTTTTCTTGGTGCTCAAGAAAGCAAGAAACTGTAGCTCAATCCACTATTGAGGCAGAATTTATAGCCGCAACCGCACCAGTTAATCAAAAGAGGGGTGTTCTGAAGATCAAATTGCAGATGTCCTTACCAAATCTTTGCCACTTTGAAGATTTTAGAAAAAAGCTTGGAGTTTGCAACATCTAAACAAGAAGAGTGTTAAAGATCACGTATTTGTTTAGATTTCTGTATCTGATTAAATCTTTAAGAAGAACACCCTGATCTTCAGGCATTGATTTAACGGACCCAAGTTCAACAACTCCCAACTTTACAGGTACAAAGATCAGCGTCTGCAAACCAGCCACTTTAGCTAAGAACCCTCTCGATTAGTAATTACGCATACAACTCGACGAATCCGAAGCCCATATAGTCTTACCAGCATTGTACGACGCCTCGAGACTGCTCCCGAAGTTGCACGTAAGCTTGTAATACATCGAAGTCCGATACGATAGAGCATATCAATATCCAACACTTCCTCCTAGTTGTTCTGTTAGATAAAAGCTATAGTTTCCTCTTGTTTTTTCCCATTTCAAAATCTGAATCAACACTTACGGTTTAGTGGAAGAGCGTAATTTTTGGAAGAGCGTAATTTTTGAGTGCAAGTTTGCACCCACTACTTCCCATATTAAAAGTCAAATATTTGTTATTTGAAGTATTCAACATGAGAAATAATCACCGGTATTAATCAAATATTCTCTCTCTTTTTCCGTTATTCTTTTTGTTCGAGGAAGATTCCTTTTGGTTGCCATCGGTTTTTGTTCGAGGTAGATTTCTTTTAGCCATCGATAGTTCTTTTAGTAACTGACTAGGATCGTAAGGTCACTCCCTTTCGATTACTATTCAAGCTTAAAATTAAGCTTTTTTTTTTTTTTTAGTTGGTATGGATAATATCATGCCTTATATGCATAAGTTTTATGATGCCATAAGATCATTGTGCATAGAACCAATTAGGATATCTACAAGTGTCTCTTAATCATAAACTTGTTTAATAAGAGTAATGGTTCACACAAGTAAATATAATAGTTGGCAGAGACGACAAACATTCCCTCCTACGATGAAGACGATATTATGAGACAATAGATAATTTTGTCTTGATTGACGATTACGACCTTATCGAATCTAATAGAATATTAAATAAACTCTAAGGAGATAATAGGGACATCACAAAAGTTAAGATAAGAAAAAGATATAAATATTTAGCATAAACATGTTTGGTATGCGTAAACATTCTTTTCTTATTAATTTTCAACTTTTAACTTTTTGTGGGGCATTATTCAACAATATAGAACTATCAAACAGATTGAATCGAAGGCTTTGCAACCTCATTTTCTTACTTTAATAAAGTTGCTACCGTATTCATGACAATTGCGAACAAATCTTTTAAAATATTTAAAGACGATGTCATGAACTTTGTATATTAATTTGTACATTAATTGGCCATTGCTGGGCCGTTGCTGATCATTTCCCTCGTTTTCAACCGACTTACGAGACATTGACACGTGCCATGAACGAATAATTTATTTGGTTTTAGAAAGGCCAATGGATGTGTGTGTCTATATATATATATATATAGGTACAAGAATCATGAGCTCCCTGTCTAAGTAAAACTCTCACTGACCCTCACAAAAATGAAAAGCTAAATAGGTGGAAGACTCAGCTTCCATGGTTGATTTGATGGTACAATTTTGTACTAACATATCATATTTTTTCCTCTAATCTGAACCTTCTCTGCTATGGCCATGCTCAAGCTTATTCCTTGCAGCCCAACAAAAAGGAATGAACCATGGTTCAAACTGACGGCTGATTCCCATTTTAAGATACCTTCTTCCACTTAAAGTTGTGCATATCTGCATAAGCAAGACCAATAAATGGTTAAGGAACAACAGCACACGACCAGGGTACTTGCCACATTTAAACATTGACAACACCCCAAGCCCTCGCTAGCATATATTATTTGTTTTGACCCGTTACGTATTACCGTCAGCCTCACGGTTTTAAAACATGTCTGCTAAGGAGAAGTTTCTACACTCTTGTAAGAAATATTTAGTTCTTCTCTCCAACTGATGTGAGATCTCACAATCCACCCCTTTGGAGGACCAACATCCTCGCAAGCACACTACCGGGTGACTGGCTCTGATACCATTTGTAAGAGCCCAAGCCCACCGTTATCAGATATTGTCCACTTTGGCCTGTTACGTGTCGTCGTCAGCCTCACGATTTTAAAATGTGTCTTCAAGGGAGAGGTTTCCACACTGTTATAAGGAATGCTCCGTTCTCATCTCCAACCGATGTGGGATCTCACAATTCACCCCCTTTGGGGGTCTAGCGTCCCTCGCTGGCACACCATCCAGTGTCCAGCTTTGATATAATTTCTAACGGCTCAAGCCCACTGCTAGAAGTTATTGTCTGTTTTAGCCCGTTACATATTGTCGTCAACCTCACAGCCTCATAGTTTTAAAACGTCTGCTAGGGAGAGGTTTCCACACGCTTATAAGGAATGTTTCGTTTTCCTCTCCAACTGATGTGGGATCTCACAATCCACCCCCCCCCCCCCCCCCCCCCCCCNCCCCCCCCCCCCTTGGGAGACTAACATCCTCGCTGGCACACCACCCGATGTTTGTCTCTGATACCATTTGTAATAGTCCAAGCCCACAACTAGCAAATATTATCGATTACGTGTTGCCGTCAAGCTAATGGTTTTAAAACGCGTCTGCTAGGGAGAGGTTTGCACATCCTTATAAGGAATGTTTCGTTCTCCTCTCTAACCCGATGTGGGATCTCACAATCCACCCCCTTTTGGGGACCAACGTCCTCGCTGGCA